TAAACGTGTTACATGCGCTCAGTTTTTGTGTAATAAATGAAGTTTTAAAGTTTTTTATGTTCTTGTTTGACAACTTCAACTATACAACTGCACCAAATAGTTTAGAAAGATCATCCCGCCTATTCAAGCGGTGTTGATTCTAAATGGTTTTCTTTTTCTTTCTTTTCGATAACACTTTATTACACTTTTGCGCAAAATTAAAAACCAGTTCAAGCGTACTACCGAATACATATGTATGCAAGTTGTAAAATTTACCATTAAAGTTGTAGACATAACATCTCGACACATTTTTTTTTTTCTAAAACAATAATTATAAACACATCAAAAAAAATCAAAAAAAAAGAGCTTAGGTTAGGTCAGTGACGTAAACAGCAACTCACACAGCACTTCGTTTGCAAAGGTTGTCTTATATGTACAAGCGAATCAAATTTACCTTTGGCAACGAGGAGGGAACATAAAATGGCGAATCGAGAAAGCCATTAACATTTTTGTACTGAGGCTTCAAAGTTATCCTTAAGCATGAAACTTGTTGACCTTTTAGAAAATTTGAAGAATTTGTTTAACCATAAAGGAGGCAGCGGATTAACAGCTTTCGCTGAAATTATTGTCAGCAACTAAGAAAATGAATCGTTATCGCTGCTTTCAAAGTCTATAAAATAGATTGAAAAAACATTACCTTGGCTTGTTGTCTTTTTTTACAAAAGGCCCTGGTATCTTATGGCCAAACTGGTCTCGAATATATGCTTAATTTAAAGGCAAGCTTCCTTTGATTAGAAAGCTAGATGCAAGAGAGTCTTCGTCAGAAGGTATTGCACCACTTTTCTAGGAAACTGTGAGAGGCTTCTTCGCGTTCTGGCATATGTGCTTGAGATTGGGTTTATTTCAGCTTTAGTTTTGAGAATGTTTATCTTGACCCTTCGGGCAAGCTTACTTCAATGCTTGATCAGCGTGAAATTCTTTGTCATTTTAACTATGCCCGTTTGTTAGTCTGGTCGTCTATCTGTATGCATGTACACCAGCTTGTCTATGCATTGGTTGCCAAATGTCGCCTATACGTACATCTATGTTCAGCAGTGTAATAACATACATCCACCTGTATGCCTGTCTGTTCGATTGCGTATCTGTTCTACTATCTATCTATCCATCTATTCACCTATCTGTCTGCGGCGATATCGAGTTTGAAAATGGGCGTAATCTGTTAATGACAAGTTTTTTCCCGACAACTGGCAATTAATGCAGCAGAGTAACTTGAAGAACAAGAAGAACACAGAGTTAGGAGAACATCTAAAGTTGCAGTGGGAAAGTCGACATCATTCAGCACCAGAAAATATAACTTAAACCCTATAAGAGTTAATGATCTGAAACCCAGTACAAAGGTTGTTGTAAAAATTATCTCGATCGAATGGCAGGCACTCCCGCAAATATATTATATTGATTTGAGGCGACAACTATCAAAGATGCTTTGCAAAGTAAGAACGACTTTTTTGAAAACTATGGCCAACAGAATTTCTTTATGAACGCAACAACTTAAATATGTTTCTTAAAGTGCATACAATTCTATTAATTCAAGAGATCAGGAGTTCAAGACACGTTAAATATAATTAAAAAACAAACTACTGTGACTGCCTTAAACTACCGGTTTGGAGTTGAGCTTTGCTCTTAGTAGATGAATATATAAATGTCCAGCTTATCACTGTGAACCTATGGCTGTGTGGTCAGTAAGTAATAAATAATTTTCTCAATGGTTTAGAGCCGACATTACGACTCTTTAAAAAGAATTTCAATTTGTTCCTATTGGAAAAAGAATAAAGTTCATTGTACTTTTATAAGAGTTTACGGCAAATAGTTAATCAATTGATGAATTAGCAGATGAAAGCAAAAAAGGAAAACATTTTGCGGTTTAAGAAAACAGAACTAAACGCATAAGAAATTCATTAGCAAAAGTCGTAAAATTTTCGGAATACTAATGTGAAATGAAAACTAATATCACACCATTACTAACGAAAGTAAAGAGAGAAAGCATTCGCGCAAGTTATTGATGATATTTGTTTGGCCGCATAATTTTCAATTGTAGTTATGACTTGGACTTACTTGACTTTCGAAAAACTTACAGCACAACAGGTTTGAATGCATATGCGAGCAGTAAGTAAGTGCATATTTTTCTTCTTTTTTTTTCAAAATTTTCACTTGATTGCATTATGCCTCAAACTATTGATAAAATTGCATTATTCTTGAGAGGAGCATTAGTTAGTTATGCTAAACTTTTATGATGTTTTTTAAACTTTGAGATTCGACAAGTTATTAAAATGAAGAATGTTTAGCAATAAACCTTTTTTAATTATTATTTCTTTTGATGAATCCACTTTAAATGACATTAAATTGCCGTAAATGGGCGTAACTCTAGCTAAGCCTTATATAATAGTTTTTTTCACCAGTGCTTTTTCACCATTCGATGATATCTTCACCGTTTTCATCATCGTTGCGTAATTTAAACAATTTGTTTTCCATACCGCTACTCGATTCCCCCAAATCCCCCCTTTCCCACCAACTCCAAGTTGGTGTGCTGTGAAGTGAGAAATAAGATGAAACTATGCTTTGGTTCTCTTCTCTTAACCGAAAGCCTTTTCCTTGAAATTAAACGCACGACAAATCTTTGTACACAAAAAAAAGTGAAATTACTTTAGAAAACGCGAACTGGTTTTGGAAATACCGTAAAAAAAGGTGTAAATTGTCGATACCGCAGGAAATACTGAAAGATCAATAAGGAAGAAACGATGAACTTTTAATTTATCCGCTGGAGTAGCTGTGTAGGTAAGAATGGCGATTACCAAATCTCAAGTGCGGTAGAGTTTACTTTGGCCATAGTTATAGCGGGTGTTCAGGCGATAAAGGCTTAACACCCACCGCTTGGTCGGTCACCTCTCTTTCCATTCCTTCACTACGTCTGCTTTCTTCTCGTCACCCTGTTACACGACCACTGAATGGTTGGTCATTAAAAATAATTATTATTATAGCTAAACATTATATTATATATAAAAGTGCTCATCCTCAAAGCGAAGGACGCATTAATCTATCTATCAATCTATAAATTTACAAATTATATCTGTCAGCTTGTTTTACAATAAACGAAAAAAACAACCGTTTTACCGTTTTCCTTCAAGAATGACTTGAAACCTCTTAGCGAGCTGTAAAGACTATATAATTTTATAGGTGAAGCAAGAACAAGTAAAGCGTCGTAGGTCTCCCGGTAAGAACCTATCAGTTTTGATACCCTTTAACCGAAATGACCTGGACAATGCATTTGTGGCTCGAGGAATTGGCAACTGGTTGTTACGGACAGGCTTGCTAAAAGAGAATAGAGTAGCTTTTAAATCTTTGCCTTTGAATAATATCATAAAAACTGAGGAGAAGCCAAATTTTAACGGGTTTAAAGAAGGAAAAGCCTAGAGTAGGAGCTTTAATTGAAACTAACAAAATAAATGAACTTTCAATGAGAGTTTCCAGTCTATAGGTTTAGTTTTCCTTAAAAAATTTGTCCGAAATTCGAACTACTACTTAATCGATTATATAATTTGCTCGCAATTATTAGTAAGTAAGTGAACAATGTGCTTTTACTGCAACAGTCTGCAAAGTGTGCTCAAATATTGCAACATAATTTCTGTCTTAGATGATCTTATAAATAATGAAATATGTATATGCACATCTTATACCTATACAATTCCGAGTAAGTAAAGAGTGTGTTTTTAATGTGAACAATCATCTACAAGTGCTTTGTCATATAGTGCAACATTATTTTTGTCTTAAATGATATATATAACTGTGTATCTTATAGTTAAATAACTCCGAGTAAGTAAGCAGTGTGTTTTTAATGTGAACAATCATCTCCAAAGTACGCTCACATATTGTAACATTATTTCTGCTGCAAATGGTCTTATAAATAAATAGGCGTACACACACACATATATATATCTTATAAAAAATATTAATTATGTAAATAAAAATAAATAATCTCCGCTCTTTTTCGGAAACCAATATCGTAATTCATTGAGGGCCTTTTCCGTTTCACTTTAGCAAACAGAGTTTCCATTGAATTTTAATCATAATTTCGTGTCTATAATAATTATTTAAATAATTATGTTTTTCCGATAGTTGTTATAGTAATTTACACATTGTATTGTGAAAAAAGGCAACAAAAATAGAAACGTTACAACTAAAGCAAACAATTTTTGTACCTTGATGATGACATTTACGAACATATTTTTACAAAAACTTAAAAAGTGTTCTTAAGTCATTACAAGTAAAGAATAGAAAGAAAAAAAATTGTTAATCATACTTATAATTACGTTCACGAGTTGTAATCAAAAATCCATAATAATCTGATGAGTTTTTTTTTTTTGTTTTTAGTTTTATAAGCTCTTACGATTGGTTTAAATAGAAAATGTAATTTAACTCATACTTAAGAAAAATGAAAACTAAATGCAGACGAACCTTATACGCACATAGAAGGTCTTCTTGTTTATGTAAGATTTGATAACATTCTATGAAACGAAATTAAAGCAGAACGAAATGAAAGAAATATTCTTTTGTGGCAGACACGGAGAGAACAACGTACATTCAGACATGATCGTTAAAAACCAATTTACACAAGACCGCCATGCGAAATAATGAGTAATCGAGTTCAACAGTAACAACATCAATAGCAACAACAGCAACAACAACAACAACATAAACTCCATATAAAAATATATAAAATTCTTTTAGTATTTCAAGTGTACGTAATTTCAAGTAGATTTCACTGATTGGTGGGAGCATTTAAAGAAATAAATACAAACACAATACTTATGCCGTATATAAGACTATTATTATATACTTTCGTTATTATTGCAGCTAACTCGGTTAGAGCGAAGGCAATGTCAGCATAAAAACATTTTTATAATAACGAAGATGGTCTGTTTTGCTTTTATTATTATTTATCATTTTTTTTTTTTTTTTTTTTTTAGAGAATTCAACTCATTTTCATCATTATCTGAATCTTGTGTTAATAACATTCCAACGAGCAGAGCTCATCACGAACTGCTGGCTGAGGTCATTATGCAGCAACCTAACGATTATTATACGCAAACAGAAAGTGAACTATTGCAATTGGAGGCGTCTGGCCTGCACTTGCCCGCCTATCAATTACAAAGTGATTCATTACAACAGCAACAGCATCAGCATCAGCCTCAGCAACAACATTTGCAGCAGCAGCAGCAGCAGCAGCAACAACAACAACAACACCATCAACAGTTTCAACAACATCCGCCGCGTAATACCGATCATTCAACGCCGCCGTCTTCATCAAACGCCACACCCACTCCTACCACAAGCCACGCAGACCCGGCATCGAGTAGTAGTAATGGTGGTGGCAGTAACAGTACAACCCCAGCACATTTTGTTGCACCCATGCAACGTCAACGCCATTGCCAACCGCCTACAAATTTGTCACTTAGCTCTGTGACGTCAACCTTACGTGCCAATTATAAGACTGCTTCCTATTTGCATAATCATCATCAACAATTGGACTTCCAAAGAAATTCGCAATCAGACGACGACAGCGGATGTGCTTTAGAAGAATACACGTGGGTGCCGCCAGGCTTAAGGCCAGATCAGGTTAGTAACTAGACGTCTAAAATTCTTTTATGCGAAACATAAGGTTCTAGAAATGAAGGCTAAATATAATTCTCGAAAAAACTAAAGTCAGCTTGTGCGTAATCGGTTATGGACTTCGGGGACATCTATTTAATGGTAAATCTTTTATTAGATCTTCTGCGACAGTCAGAAAATCATACCATAAATCTTTTGCTTAATATAGCATCCATGGCAGCCGTGCTAGTCCATTTCAGCTTAGTCCTTCGCATCCTGAAAGCTGGAACCGAATCTTGCTTAGACTTTGACAATTTCAAGAAACAGAAAAAAAATCTAAATTCTGAGTTGATCTAAGTTGTTTATCCATTTATTTTTCAAGCTGTTACACTGTTATATTTTAAATTGAATCGGATCATTTCTATGATCAAATTCCGTATGCCGTATAAGTTTGGAACAGTCAAAGAGAAGACAATCCAACCATCAGCATATATATAAGTTAACGGGGTAGGGAAATACCGATATGGCGACCTGGAAGGCAGAAGAAGCTCAACAGATGCTTAAAGTGGTTTTGTTAGATGATGTGACTAACGTCTGCCAGTAATAATTTCGCCCCCTTTTAGAAACAATTTGATTGGGCTGCCACATAAATGATTGGACAAGATTCGAGTATACTACCAAGTCGATGCTCACTGTCCTTTGATCATTCTGAGCCATAGTTTTGGTGTGCGCTCAGTCGCTAAGCGCAAAACACTTACCCCACTTGGCTGCTCTCTCTTCAGTTCCTCTCTTTCCTCACGTTACACGTATAAGTGACATTCTCTGACAGGGACAAGCTAATAGTCGCTTGACGTTTTAACTCTTCGATAGACTGTGGATTTGAAATGCTTGCGTCTTAACAACCGATTGTTTCTAGTAGTGATAAGTTACTATTAGGGTAATCGCAAAGTAATGTCGTATATCTACGTTAACTTCAAGCAGATAAATTTTTACCAAGTTTTTATTTTTAATCAATAACGTAACCATCCTCGCGGCGTTTTGGACATCGTTCGAATTTTTAAAATTTTTTGTCACTTAGAGAATGTTGTAGCGATCGAAGCAAATCGGAATCCGATAGCGTTATGTCGGGTGATTATTGTGGGCAATACTTTCCACCCCAATTCATTAATTTTTTCGAAAGCTCACCTTGCGCAGTGCGAGGTCTTTTCAACATCGTGTTGTATTAAACCTCGACCAAAATTGAACTAAAGTTTACCACTACAAACACAAACGGTAGCATCCAAAGTCGAAGTCGGTGCCGCCTGCCCGACGACATGACGTCCTTAATGATCATGAAGCAACCTTCTGCGACGGACATAAGGACGTGCGAACGGACGGACATACTTAAGTGCATTCCGAGTTTCTCAAAATTCGCCTCAAAAATCAATTTTTTATTCGTTTTCAATAACAAAAGTGTTGCTATTTGACGCAGTAATGTGGACGTATTCTTCGACCGATTTGATTCATTTACAATAACAACTTGCGTGCATGAGCTTCCAATATTTCCGTCAAATTTCAAGTCGATAGCTTTATCTTTGTGGGCAGGGGAAATTTTAAAACAAGGATAATACGGACAGACAGACAGCTAGACATACATAACATACCTAAATCGATTGCGAATTTGATGCGGATCATGAATATCTACACATTTTCGGCTTTTTGAAGAGTCCTTCTGGGCGTTACAAGCGTTTCCCGAGAGTGGAAATTACACTAAAATTATCTGCAAAGAGGTTGACAAATTAAAAGTAAAGCGTATTGAGTAAAACTAAAGAAATAAAATTAAAATAAAAAACAAGCAGAGAGTGTTTGCGAGTTGGAAAACTTTTAGCAAAATTAGCATGCGTTGAAGTAATCGACTTGAACAAATCTGCCGGATATGATACAAATAAATGTATGTTATTAAGAAAACAGACAAACTTGATTAACACTAATATTATACAACAAAATAATAACTTTTAATTACTCTGGTACGTACGTTTTCGGATTAATAGCATGCGGGTACACACCTTTTAAAATTGCCCCGAATGCATTTTTTTCTGCAATTGCATAAATCTCACCACAGAAAGCGTGAGCCAAACTACGTAACTATAATTCTGTTATTTTGGTCATCATTTTGTTCACCGTCAGTATCGATCGTTAGTTTTGCTGATTGAATTTCATAGCTGGCCATAAATCAAGCGTTACAGTTGAATGAAAAAAGAAAAAACAGCTTTCTTAATATAGACCAACTACCGTTGTTGTTTTTGTTATCGTTGTTGTCTAATAATTTAGCATTATTTTCCGCCACCACCACCGCCACTACCAACGCGACCACTACGATTACCATCATCATCATCATCATCATCATCGTCGTGGTCGTCGCCGCCGCCGTCGCCGTAGCATACCGTCGTCCATTACTCAGGATTGGTTAGCAATCAAATATTTTTTTTTATTATTTGAAATGAAAATTATTTTTCAATTCGTTTTTGTTACGGTTGATTTAGAGCATAAACGTGTAAAAATGTATGTCCATACACACTGCTTTTTTTTACTATTTTTTTTGCACGTTGAAGTTATTGCATTTATATCCACTAAAAATATTTAATATGATATCAATAACTAAGACAAAATTTTTCAAATTTTTAGATAATCTCGTTTTTTCTTCAGCGAAAGCATAGTTAATTAACGGTTACGATTGTGGAGGTGTTACTGTGCAAAAACTTTACGGAATTATAATAATATTATTATGAAACTTTAATTCATTTTTAGAGAGAGAGAGAAAGCCCCGACAGAGAATTAAATATTATTTCCATCCATTCAAAGGGAATGTCTAGTCAGGGTGTTTTTACTTGAACTTGTTATCAGACGAATCCTCGTTTTATATGGATTGATAGTTCAAAACATTTGCAATGAGACAACATTTCATTTATTGAAACTAACAAATGCTGAGCGCTGATGTGAGGATTAATTTTTTTTTTAGCGACATTAAAAAGAAAAGTTTCTGGGTTTCTTGAAGCAATGTTAAAGCATCAACAAGACATAATGAAATTTTGTATATTCTACGCTCATAAGTTACAGAAACTTATCATTAATGAGATCACGGCGACTTGTTAACGATTAAAGTGAGATATCGCTTCCACTTGAAAACGAATCATTTCCCATGAAGAAATCATCAAGAATATGGGTAATCGTCTGGTTACAGACATCTTTACTAGGCAGTCGATTATTATGGGGATCCAAAGTTTGCCACAGATCTATAATGTGTTAAGGTGGCCGGAAAACTGAATGGGGGTCTGACGTTGTTGGACCGATACTTCTTCTTGCACATTAAAAATGCTTGGAGGATAATTTGAATGGCAGTCTATGATGTATGGCTAATCTAAATACAAGAATGAATACGCCGTCTAGCGATGAATGTCCGAAAGCACTATATATAGCATTATGTAGAGGCAACAGCTGGCACGGTGCCCATTCATTATGCACAAGGAACAGTCAAATGCATTTTTCAATACGCACGGCATAGTTCGATCCAATCTACTTTAAACAGAGTTCGTCCTTGACATAAAACCGGTCAGTGCACCAAATTTTACCAAGATTTAAATTATAAATGCATCGATTAGGTAGGTTAGACAGGCAGGCGGAGAAACCTGCTTCAACTTTTGTTTTTTTCATAATACCGTCAACTGCTAGGGTAACGGAAAGAACAAATGGTGGAAGAGGTAAAGAGTGGTCGCAACGCGGGTGGTATGTGCCTGATTGGTAAGTAAGATTGGTGGTCTTTATCGCCTGCGCAGCACATATTATAGCTGCGATCACACATCAATCATCGTGATATACTGCAGAGGAAATCAAATGCAGTTGCACTGACTTGATAGTCGTGCTTCTTAACTACTTGACAATGCGGTAGACCGGTATAATAAAAAGTGTCTCAAGATCTCAAGTCCGTTCAGATTAAGCATTCATACATCGTTACAATGAATAACTTTGGGTAGAGAAAAAAACCAAATTTTAAGACAAAATGCACTTCCATCAGAAAGAAAACACAAAAATTTGTCCGTTGATCTGTCGAGACTATAAATTGTCTTTGGCATAGTATATAGATAAAGAATTCGTCGAATCCTTTCAAATTCACACACTCAAGCATTTAAAAAATTCATTCATCGGTCTTTAATACCTTAAGTAAACATGAAAATAATGACCATAAAAAGCGAAAAACATAAAAATGTTAAAACTCAATTAGTTTGTAGTAAATGGTTGCTGCACAGTTTAGCAGCAGTAATACGTATATACTTGTTGTAAGCGATTCAAGTTAAATTAAATTAAGCCAAAGTTGCTTATCTCTTCTCGTTCTTTTTTATTTTTATATTTCACTTCTATTGTAATTAGTTATAGTTTGTTGTTAATTCTTTTCGACTACGAGATATATTTGTACAGACAAGACATACTTTTAAAAATATTCCAAATATGTTATGTGGTCGTTGTTGTTGATCATTATAGAGTTTTTTTTTTTATCACAAAAAAAGAAAAAAAAAAAAAAAAAAACAAAATCTAGTTTTGTGCTAAAAAAGAAAAGCCAAAAATAAAAACTGTTTCAATTCACACATAACGCATAGCACATAACAAGGCAAAAATTAACTGGTCCTGGTGTGTTACTGAAGGCAAAATGTAATTTTTCTTTCCATTTGACTGCAATAACAAGTGCAATTAATAATAAAACTCCCTCCACTGAACACAAAAAAAAAAATAAGAAAAAAAAAAATAGAAAAGAAAGAAAAACCTACAATTTTTATTCTCATTTTGGTTTGGTGTATGTGACGCAGCAATAAATCTCAAAATTAAAAGCGGATTAAATCATAAGAATGAACAAAATTAATATATAAAAAACAAATCCTACACTTCATATTTTGCGATATTACAAAAAATAATAATAATAACAACAAAAATAAATAGAAACAAGTAAGAACTCTAAGCACCCTACATCACCCTGCAGTTGTTCATATAACGACTTTTCAAAGCATAGCACTTAATTCCGCGACAATTGGGTCGTTAGTCGAGATATTTCGCCCACTCGGCCGGATCGGTCGGAGTTTCGCAACCTTAAATTCATTAACGGGGTGATGCCAATTTCGAATTCAACTAGCAGCCACATTGACGAGCCTGCACATCACAGCTCTATAAAGGACTTGCACACGTGTACTGTTCGCAGTACACTAACATGCAATTTTTTTGAATTAAAAAGACTATAGTAGGCCACGGCTCGCCATTGGATAACCTACACGTCCCTACAGTTACTCATATAAAAATTTCTCAAAGCAAGGTATTTTATGGCAAAGGGTGGAAAAAGGGTGTTTCGATACGAACTATTTTCAATAGAGTGCGTTGTTGGTCCAAGACACGTCCGTGTACCAAATTTCATCAAAATACCTCTAAACTTGACCCCTATACACAGAAGAAAACAAAACAGACAAACAGACAGACAGACTTAAATCGATGCAGAGAAGTGATGCTAAATCGAACGGTATAATAAAAGCTGGATCTAACTCAAGCCCTTCTGGGTGTTGCGTGTATTTGCTCAAGCTAAATATACCCTTGTACCTCAAGTGGTAAAGGGTATAAAAATATATATAAAATTTTATACAATAAACTCTGTCTCCATACAAATACGATTGAGCCGAATTTTAAATGTACGGCACTTGGTATGTTTTGGTTTATATATAATACAACACCCGCTTCTCCACGCCATTCACTAATATTGAGGTACGAACGAGGTTGGCTATGGAAAAAACTAGAAAACAAAAACAAGTCTGAAAAAATAGTATAGAGACACCATCAAATGCACATGTATATCTATGGGAGTAGCGGAGGGCAAACTGCAGCTTCCATCCGCACGAGCGCGAGTATTAGTAGTGATGTTGATAAAGAAAAAAGAAATTTTTTTTATTTTTTTTTTTTGAGAGAGAGTGAAACGTGATGGGGCGACTTATTTGCCCAGAGTACTAACGATGCTATTGATGTATGGCACGTCATTAAGTTTAATCGAAACTGAGCAAATTGTGTTGTGGTCCGGGTGAAAGTACTTTTTTTTTTGTTTTTTTTGTTTTTTTTTTGATTAATATCTTAAAGTAGTGTTTAGCTGGCACATACCATACCATCTAGAAAACAAGAGCCTTACATGTGTTCACTGGTTTGTGATAATAAAGTGATAAATTGTTTGACGCGCGAAAGTGATATATTTTTTAAATATGACATAAAACTAATATTTATTAACGTTAATAGTAATAATAATGATAAGCATATTTTATTTTTTACTTCAGTTAATTGAATTCTAAAAGAAGCTCCTATAAGGAAATAATAAAAACAATTTTATTTATTTATTTTTTTTTTTTTTTGCTATTCTTTGAAGGTTCGCTTATACTTTTCGCAATTGCCTGACGATAAGGTTCCTTATGTTAACAGTGCCGGTGAAAAGTATCGTATTAAGCAACTACTGCATCAGCTGCCGCCACAAGATAACGAAGTGAGTTCCCATCGTCACTTTATATTCATATTTGCTTTTTTTCATTTCCCTTTATTCTTTGCTTTTCTCTTTTTTGCTGGGATTAATAATGCCGTTTGAAAATATTTTTAAATTAAGAAAAGATTCTTTTATGTATGCTTAAGAATATGTAAATGAACTTTTGCTTTACGAAAACTTTCAAGGAAATTTTTTCAATTTCTTTTCCTTTTTTTTTCTTCTTTTTTTTTTTAAATTAAAAGTCGACTTAAAAAGTTTTATATTTATTTTAGGTGCGCTATTGTCATTCCTTAACCGATGAAGAACGCAAGGAGCTGCGCATATTTTCAGCCCAACGTAAACGTGAAGCTTTAGGACGTGGAGCTGTTCGTTTGCTGCCTGATGAAAGGCCTTGTAAAAATGTAAGTATCTATGTCTTTCAAGGAATTTCTTATTCATTTTTTAATTAATTAAATTAATCGCCATTCCCCGTCGTTGTCTATTCTTAGAGTTATTGTGTTACCGATGATAAAGTATGAGTTAACGTAGTTTGTCATTGCCTGTATGACAGACTTTTAAATACTCTGCATCAATACACTTGTCATTGTCACGAAAATAATAGAATGAAGTTATCGTTCCACAATATTAACGGGTAAAAACGCTTTAGTAAGCCCACCATTGAGCACCATGCACTACTTCGCTCAGCACAACTATAAAAGGTCTTTTCAGAATAAGGCATTATATTCCAAGTGGTTGGAAAAGTTGCGCGATTCGAAACATTTTCAATGACTTTGCTCTTAAACCAAAACATATTAGTATACCAAATCTCATCAAAGTATCTCAAAAATTCCTAGGTGCAGGCTGAACACAAGAAAATAAGACAGACGGACGGACGAGCTTAGATCAATTCAGTAGTGACTTTAAACAATTTTTTTCCCAAAAAAATTTATAAAAATAAGGCGTTACATGGGGAGTGGTCGACAAAATGGTCCGATCCGACACATCTCCAATAGCTTTGTCCTTGGGCTGCAACATACCAGTTTACCAAATTCCATCAAAATGTCATAAAAGCTGTGATCACTAGGTTACGCGCAAGAATACATCGCCAGACATCAAATGGACACAGGGATATGCGCGACAGTCAAACTTAGCTCAATTCTAAAAATTGTTCTGAATCGATCAGTATGGCTCTCTCTTAAATTCTTGAGGGTAGTGTATGAAAATGGCCCATCCTTTAGTTGTAGTGTTAAATGAATTGCACTTTCATTGAAACTGAGTCTTCACAAACTTAAATATTTTATGACGAGATTTCAGCTGCGCTGAGGAATGGTGTTGCCTTGAAAATTGCTTTCTGTCTTTCAACCAATTAACTACGTTCGACATGTACACAACTCATGGTGCGATCGCTTTTCATACACGTTCTGTGATAAGAGAAAATTACCATACGATACAAGATCTTGTAATTTCGGTAAGAGGTAATGCAAATGCCACTTAGTGGTGAAAAATTAGCTTAAATGCCATCAACATCGACTGCAAATGTTATACGTCTCTTCGTCACTTTCCCAACTTTATGCTATACGCACTTTTAGAAGCAAATCCACTTCGTAGATTTCTCAACTGATAAGATGCGAAACGGCAGTGTTTCATATATGTGACGGGCTGGCAGTGAAACAGTTAAATTACAAAGCTACGATCCAAATTTAAAGACCACTTCAAGTTACACTTTTTATAGGTTGGAAACAATTTTTTGGCAACAGAGGGTAAGGAAACTTTTGCTTAAACTAAACTTAATCTCAAAAGGAGCTTAAGAGTCGAGTGCAGCCAGCATGACTACAGTTTCTGATATGTTCAATTAGGCCTCGGTACCCCCTTTAAGTACAAGAGTACTCAATACGCATATATTTATGCTGAAGTGTGTCTATCTATTTCCTATATATCGATACGATCCATTTGAGAATAGTTTTATAATCCCTTTCACACAATCCGCGCCTTATATAAAAATCAAGTTTGTTTTACAAATTTTGAAGCATTTTACGGCATTAATGCCGTTTAATGTAATACTTTTTATGCCATTTGTTTATAAAATCCGATACATTACTACTGCTATGTATGCGAAACTAAAGATCTGGAGGAGAAAAAAACTTTCTCAACTTTTTCATTTAGAGAAAAGTTTAAGAGGAAATCATAAAATGTTACACTTTTTGTTTGTTTGGTTGACACTTGCCCGTTTTTTTTTATTTATTTATTTTTTTTTATTTATTTATTTTTGTTTTTGTTTAGCGTATATTTGTCCATTTTAACAGTAACTGGTGGCAGACGTTATGTACATAAATATTTTTAAATTCGCATTTACACTAAAAAACAAATTGTCTTGTGCACCAATTTTGTATAGTGAATGCATGGTTACGTGTGTGTGTATGCCGGTGAAGTTGGTATGGAAAAGTTGCTCTGTAATGTTAAATATAAGCATTTTACAGTTAAAAGTTTTGTAACTGATGACAAAAAGATTTCATTAAATGTGCATAAACAACAAAAACAACAATAAGCAAACTAATAAATGGGACTTGAACAATTGAAAAGATGTAGATTTCCATAAAAGCCGTTAATAAAAAGTATCTAAAAAGCAAAAATAATAACAAAAACCAAGACAATATAAATACGGGGTCGCAGTTGAACAAAACAAAAAGAAAAAAAATTGTTTTTTGTTTGCGTATGTGTGTGTGTGTGTGTTAAAAGTTTTGCATAGAAAGTAAAAATTATTAAAAAAAAAATCTGAAAAAGGAAACAAAGCAAAGCAGTAAAGACCGAAAAATGATTTTAGTTTCATCCCGCACTCCTACTCCACTTAATTTTGTTAAAATAATTCCTCTTCACAAGAATTTTGCTGCACTCGCCGCAGTAACTTTCTTGTGCAAATTTTCTTTTCTTCTCTATTTTTTCCTTTTTTTTTTTTTTGTTTGTTTCTTTTTTGCAGAGCAGAATAGACAAGAAAAGGTTTTTGTGTAAATTTGCATCATATTGTTGGCTGCCAGACAGTAGCTAACAGCTACTGACTGCAGCACTTGACTATTCAAGTCACTCACTCACTCATTCACTCATTCTTTTATCCATTCATTCAGTCTTAATAGACATATATATACACACATACACACACACACACACACACGTAGGCAAGTCATTGCCAATTCACATACGGACAAACACCACGTATAAGATGAGAAGAAGTGGGAGATAGGGCAGAAGAAGGATGTCTAACAATGAAGGCCACACGTAGCCGTAGATGTATGCATCTGCACCAGCTTCTCAAGTATCATTTATTGCTAGCGTTCGTTGTTGGGAATTTCTGAATCTGAATAAAACTTATTAAAAACTTTTAAACGAAAGTATGCTAAGCATTATTCAGCGTTCAGTTATTATTTTAATAGTTATTCAAATTCTCCAGTGCAAGTTGCTTAACAATCAAGTGTACGAAAGATCACCTACACACACACACACACACACGCATACGTATATGGCAAAGATACATATATCTTGTGGTGGCGGCATTTTCCCCTCGAGTGCACTTTACTTATGCATCTTAAAGTAACAACAAAGACACTTTAGTGTTTGATGTTCACTTCAAGGATTTAACATTTGATTTATACACAAGTATTTTTCACTGGAAATTTCCAATAACCCTACAACAATGAGTGAATGAAATGTATTTGAATAATCTTGAAAGGCACTTCATCGGAAAAGAACTCATACATCTTAAGCAAATTGAAAAATGAAAAAAGCAGTTGCAGGAAAAAATATTTGTAATCGTAATCGATGTTTAACTACTATGCGCAATGCGGTGATGACAAGAAATAAACAAAAAATGTGGTTTTCCCTGAGGCTGAGATAGGGTGGTCGAAATGGTCATTTAGTTGGCTCCTGACACGCCAGAGCATACAAATGTGATCATGATAGAAAGGTGTACCTAAAAGAATAATTTTTGCAAGTCAAGACACGCACGATATCGCCGAAACGGATATTATTAGTAGACCGCCTCACCGAAATAAAAATCGTTAGCTAAAGTTGCGGGAAACATTTAAGAGCGTATGTCGTCTAAGGAAAGGAGTTCTATGCTGCTACAGCGTCTGAATGCGCACAGACACTGACTAAACCTATTAAAGTAATTCTGTCATGCTAACGATTGTAAGCGAGCGCAAACGGCATCCGTGATGAAGTGAGTCATTTGGGTTGTAAATCTGCAAAATTATATCCTTTTTACCCAATTACGATAATAAGAACCATGAGATAAGTGGCCATGTCCACGGACGTAGATATAATTTAAATAAACTGAAATCGATGCCCGTAGACATATGGCGAGGGTGCCGGCATAGTCAAGTAGATGAGTGTCCAGACGAACAAGGTGGGAGTTTGCGGGTTGAAGATTTAGTACGGTTTGGCCATCCATGGTCGTATTTTTAGTCACTGCCTAGTTGGTAAAAGTATAATACATATCCATCAGACAGACAGACGCCCACTAGACTGCGGCTTCTTCCTATCTCGTTGTCTTTCCCCACGTTTTTCATGGTACATGTACAGGCGGCATTGCCATATTAAAAAAAAGGTACGTAAGCGTTTTATTTAAATTCTAGCTAACACATGCCTATAAATAGTTAACTTTGCACGTGCAACTTCAGTTCATAAGGCGTACAAATGAAGAGAGTGAACTTAATATGAAAACTAATTTTCAAAAACTTAAACTACTAGGATTTTCTCTGTTCTTCAAGGGGGCTACAAAGAAAATATTCTAGCACTGGATTAGGAATTTAGACTAGTGCAGATTTCATTTACAATCTTAGAAGGCTTAGTAAGAGAAACAATTGTTGATATTAACAAGGGTGTAAGGATAAATTCGAACTTAGCTAGCGAAGACACCTACCATTTCCTTTAAAATAGGGCTCTGTTAAATATTCAGGAATAAGTTAGGGTTGGATTCGGAAGCCTGCTCGGTCCACATTAAAAAACGTAAACATCTTCTTATGGGAACTATTTTGAACAATGTTTTGAACTTTGATGTGTTAGCGAAAACTGGGTAAGGGACAACACCCAAATTTGGAACTCTAGCGTGGTCAAACTGGGAAATTTTAGAGTCAATCAACAATTGCATAATGTGTTTTTATTTTACGAAACACAAAACAAGAGAGTCTAACGCAGACTTCCGTGGATACGCGATTTTGGTAACAATAAGTGGAGAGTAGTAAAAGGGCTCGGTATTCTTTCCATATTCTAACCTTGCGTAAGTAGTATACACTTTCAGTTGACAATATGACTATGCATGTGATGCTATGCTAAATATTTCCCACCAAATTTTTTGGACACTTAGAATATCAATGGACTTGAATTTCGTAGACCAACAAAGATATTGGTCTGCGCGTTTGACGGGAACACC